AAGGCAAATCAAGCATTCATAGGGAAAAAATGCAGACCAAGTTCAACCAATTTCGATTTCTCCTAAGTTCAGAAGTACAATAGTGCTATTTGTTCTTATTTTTGACATTTGATTTAAAGACACTATTAAATTGTTGTGAATTTTATTTAATACTTGGACCGATTACTAATTTAATTACTGAAAAAACAGGTTAATTGACTCAACTTTTGCAAAGTATCATAAAAGCCCTCTCAACCCATTTTCTTTTCTATTCGATGGTAAAAAGCAATCCAACCTATGAAAGCAATCGTCCACTAATATATATGGATTCTTGTAAGAATTTTGTAATCAAACAATGTAATATATTAAAATTTTAAATTAAATTCTTATATTAGATTCAAATATAATTGTTTTTAAAGCATCTCTAATAATTCTTTATTCAAATTTAAGTCAACATTTGAGTAAAGAATTTATACAAAGGGTTTCAATAGACAAATTCAAATTTAAAGAATGATAAAATATGAACACATTTTTAAAGGAGAATGAAATCCACTCATTGGTAATTTAAGTGAAGATTTGAAATTTTCTTGATTTATTATAATTTGAGGATAAAAATTGAGAAACTTTCTGAGTTATTTTTACTCAATTTTCATTTGAGTCTGAAAAAAAAGGTTAAGTTTCGAGATGCATTTAAGCTCATCTCCAACCTTGACTCAAATTTTTATTTAAATTTGAGTGAAAATTTTGATTTGATACAAAATACTTCAACAAAAAAACTCAAATTTAAAGGAAAACAAACCTAAATTTAAATGAAGACAAAACAAAATTTAAATATGACCATTAATAGATATTTAAAAGAGAATAAAATCTAATTATTGGTGATTTGAGTAAAGGTTTAAATCTCTCTTTATTTGGGTAAAAATTTGAGTCTTCTTTGATTTAATATGAGTTTGAGTATAAAATTAGAGAAAGTTTTTAAGATTTTTTTTTATAAAAATTAATATTTGGGTTTAAACAAAAGAAACAGTTGGAGATGCTCTTACAAATAATGAGTTGTCTATGATATTAAAAAAAAATATTTCTCTACTGTACTGACATTTACTACACTAGTAATGCACACGTGCGTTACATGTGAAAAAATTTAGATTATATCTTTTAGAAATACGAAGTGTATGAAGGTGGCGAAACAAAAGACAACATAAAACCAACAAAACTCTTAAATATAATTTACTAATCTAAAACTATTCCATCACCACATGAATTCAAGAAGTTACAAACTAATTCTATTCATAATATAATAACTCCTAAAATACTACAAGCCTACTCATAATAAACATTTCAATATTAGGAGATTAGTTTAACAAATTAAACTCTTCGTTCCATGAAAAGTACCTTTTTTTGGGCCTTTATTATCACTTTGATGGGAACACCAATTCAATTGGACACAAATTAATTTAAGTTTCAATTATAAAAACTGTTGTAAGGTAAATAAAGCATTTATGCAATAGTCATACTCAAATAGATGGAAAACAAAGTAAAGAAAATACTATACCAATAATAGACATGTCTTGACAGAGGGAAAAAAAAAAAGCTCACAGGTTGACAAACACCAAACACTGTCAACTCACCATTCTTCGTAGCCACAATATACTTAATGTCAAGAGGATGGAGATGCAAGACCACTAATTTTAAAAGATTTTGAAGAAAAAATTTATTGTAGAGATATAAGACCAAATATGTTAAATGGAGTTACTGGAGAGATATATGTATATTTTCCTATATCTATTCATATATATATTTTTAATAAAATTTGTTCAAAATATTTTGGAAGTCTAATAGGCATGAAAGAAAAAAAAATATATGGGTTTAACTTTTTACTCTTCTAATATTTTTATTATATAACAGTGAATAATGAATTTTTGATATCACCTAAAAAATAACAATTTTTTTTCACATCACGTTAGAATTCTAGTTGAATTTGTAGAATTGAATAGAAAAGAAGAATGTACTGACAAGTTAAACTGATAAAGTTTATTTAGTAAAAATTTTAGAAGTATAAATTTTATCTAGCTAACATATAGTGATAAAATTTATTTAGCAAAAAATTTGAAAGTCATAGAGATAAAGTTTATTTAGCTAATATTTTGTTGACATAATTATGTTTAGTGAAATAATTATGGGAGAAATAAGAAATCAAAAATTTATCTAGTAAAAATTTTAGAAGTCATAGAGATAAATTTTATCTAGCTAATATATAGTGATAAAATTTTTCTAGCAAAAATTTTAGAATATTAGTGATAAAGTTTATCCAACAAAAAATTTAGAAGTCATAGAAATAAAGTTTATATAACAATTATTTTGTAGGTATAATTGTCTTTAGTGTAATAATTAGAGATAAAATAAAAAATTAAAAGTTTTTCACAGATATTTACATTTATAAGTAGTATAAATATAAATTTATAGATATTTTTATCACGTTTATAATAAAAATACCCACAAAATATAATAAATTATCCATAAAATATAAATTTTTTGATTATGACATAACCCATAAAATTATAAAAATATTTATTAAAATAATAAAGTATGAATTCAGAAGAAAAGAAGTGGGCCACAGCCACCCCCCAACTCCTAACTTTAGCAGACTTTTCCGAGCCGTAGTCGGCGCTGAGCGTGACCCACCGCCCGCCCACTACGGCCGTCCAGTGACGTGGAAAATCAAATCAAATTCAACAAAACACCAAATTCCAAGCTGGACGGCCAACACAACACTTTATTGTATGGATTCCACCAAACTTTCCCATGTTTTCCCTTTGTTTACTCAACCATTAAAACTGACTACTCCAACTATGATGTCGAAATTGACCAAAAAAAAAAAAAACCTATAATGTCGAAATATTATATATATTTTTTATTTTTATAATAAATAATTTTAAATAAGTTAAAATAAAATTTACAATTTTAAAAATATTTTTGATAAATGAGTAAATAGTCAGTATAACAATAATACTACATAATCAATAACACATGATATTACTTATTAACAATAAAATATTATAAAAAATAAGCAAATATCACTTTTTAATGTTAAAATTATTCGCAACATGGTGAATATTGATAATTATTAAAAATCACGAGCTCACTAAATTTATATTATATATCATAAATAATTAGGGGTGGATATTTTTTTTTAATTTAACAATCAAGGGTATATGGGTCAGTTTATGTGCACCTTGATAAGTTTTCTCTTCGATTCGATCAAAATCAGATCATCCACGTCTAGTATTAAGGGGTTGCCAAAATTTAAACTTACAACGTCTGAATTTACAGCTCGCTTTTATTATCAATTGAACTACTCCACCAAATTTAAGAGTGAATATTTGACATGGGTTGAGGGCGTGCAAATTTTATTTTATTTGTTAAAGCTTTTACAGGATTTATTTTTTAGAATGAATTATGCACCATTAAATCAAATTCGATGAAATTAGATAAAATTTGAATTGTTTGGATGAAATTTAAACCTTTTGTTATGCTTTTTTTTTTTTTTTAATTTGAGGAAATTCTGGGATTCCCTTTTTTATATTTGCTAGCCTTTTTCTTTAAAAACAACAGATGACTGATAGATGCGACTGAATTTGGAGCTCATTTCATTTGCATTTCGGTTTGATTTAGTTTTCCCACGGCCCCACACCAGTTATATATATAGAACTACAAGCCTAAGAATCTTTTTATTTTTGGCATTTCCACATAGAGACAGACATTCCTCTGCTCTATTTAGAATCAATCTTTCAAAGTTTCTGTACCCAAACAGGTAATTACAATGCAATCTCTTAGATTCACCTTGAAAAATTTATTACCTTTTCATTTTGATGTTTCTATAGTTTTTAACTTTCTAGGAATTTGAATATGAATTTTGTAGAGATATGTATGTCTGGATCTGTTTCTTTTCTATTTTTTTCTTTTGATTCATGTATTTATTGCTGAGTAATTTGAGGGAAGAAAGAAAATACAAGGTTGAAATCTACTAATAGCTAAAGAGGCTGAATTTTGTTATGAGATTTCGAGTTTTCAGTTTATTTTCTAACAGTTTGTGGGGAAAAAAATAATATGAAAGCTTGGAACTTTGTAACATGTTGGAAGGCTTTTTAGAGGATTCTGAGTGTGGTTGTCAGTTAGTCGTGTCATGTCAGATTCGTATCGAGCCAAAAAATTACTAAACCCATATTCAATCATATATATATAATCGTGTAGTTGGGTGTATGTAGAGTTCGTGATGTGTGTAAGTTAAGAAGATTCGTGTCGTGTTTAACACGTTGGTTGTGTCAATACATTTATTTGATTTATTTGATCAACACCATTATGTTGACTAAGATTTCTTATTAAGTGATGTGGCATAGTTTTTACAATAAAATAATTGAGTCTCATTAATATTCCATGGTAAAATGATAGAGATTGTGCCACATCAATGAAAAATTTGGAAAAAAATAAAATTACTGTTGTTTGATAGGTCTAATGGGTCCACTTTTTTTGCGCTCGAACCGTTAAAGATTAAAGCAAAGAACTAATTCCGCATCGATTTAATGTCGGGTTCGGGTTGTGTTTAGGATTGCTTGGCTTAATTCTGAGATTTCTTTTCCTGTTCTATGATTTCTCGGGGGTCAGACGTTATTGGTGTTTAATAGTGTTATTGGTGTTCTATTTTCTGCATTTTGATTAGGTGATGCATTAATTCCAAACGACGGGGCAAGTACACATCTGGAATATAGTCCCCTACGATCCACAACTATGATATTGTTTTTTCCTTATTGATCTGTCTTTGTGCTTAATGTTTGGCGCCATATCAATTCAACTACCATAAGCTGTTGGATCATTTCAAGTTTGTAGGCCTATTTAGTTTCCAATATTATAAGTTCTACGTAATTGTGGGTGGACTGATAAATATATTCTATTGATTTGTCTTACCTTGCTGATTACTGATTCTACGGTACCTAACACAGTCTTCCCTCTGAAGGTTATAAAAGATGGCTGATGCTGAGGATATCCAACCCCTTGTGTGTGACAATGGAACTGGAATGGTCAAGGTTAGCTTTCCTGCTTTTAGAAGAACCTGATTTCAATGTCCCTCTCAATGTGCTGTATGAATATGCATTTAAGGTTTTCACATTTTTTTTTTCCTTTTGGATATTCAATAATAGGGAGTTTTGTTTCCCTTTGATTGTTGGGAACAAAATAAACTAATACATGTTTAGAAGGATTGACCTGACCCTTTGTGATTTGTATTGGCTGATTTTGCTTTGAATGTTCTAAAGTTGAGGCATACTTTTTCCTGAAATCGGCAGGCTGGATTTGCTGGTGACGATGCTCCAAGGGCCGTGTTCCCCAGTATTGTTGGCCGACCTCGACACACTGGTGTGATGGTTGGAATGGGTCAGAAGGATGCTTATGTTGGTGATGAAGCACAGTCAAAGAGAGGTATCCTCACATTGAAGTACCCAATCGAACATGGCATAGTCAGCAATTGGGATGACATGGAGAAGATCTGGCATCACACTTTCTACAATGAGCTCCGAGTTTCCCCTGAAGAGCACCCTGTACTGCTAACAGAAGCACCATTGAACCCCAAGGCTAACAGGGAGAAGATGACCCAAATTATGTTTGAGACATTCGATGTTCCTGCCATGTATGTTGCTATCCAAGCAGTTCTGTCTCTTTATGCCAGTGGTCGGACAACAGGTTTGTACTAATAATTCTATAGCACAGTTGGTTTTTTGTGGTAATAACCCTATGGGACAGTTGGCTTTTGGAGAATATATATGTTGTCCTCTACCATGTTCAATGCTTGAAAATTTTCAAGAGATTGAGAGTGAAAAGATTTCTGATTGCTATTTTTGATTTTGTTATTGTTTGTTATCCTTTTGTTAGCCTTCGAAAAAATCACCAAATAGAAACACAGTGAATTGTACCTACAATATCCCAATGATGATTTCATTACTGTTTTGTGTGATAGATGGTTATAACTTTGATACATCTACATATATGGCCTACAGTTTGGAATGATCATCTCCCCCCTCTGTGGGAATGCGAAATATTTGTGTCTTCAGCCGATTAAATTTATGTTTGGCTGTTTGTATAGGCATTGTCTTGGATTCTGGTGATGGTGTCACCCACACAGTGCCAATTTATGAAGGTTATTCCCTTCCCCATGCCATCCTTCGATTGGACCTTGCCGGTCGGGATCTGACAGATTCCTTGATGAAGATCCTCACTGAGAGAGGCTACTCCTTCACTACAACTGCCGAGCGGGAAATTGTCCGTGACATGAAGGAGAAACTTGCTTATGTTGCCCTTGATTATGAGCAGGAATTGGAGACTGCCAAGAGCAGTTCTGCTGTGGAGAAAAGCTATGAGTTGCCAGATGGGCAAGTGATCACAATTGGAGCAGAGAGGTTCCGCTGCCCAGAAGTCCTATTCCAGCCATCACTCGTTGGAATGGAAGCTGCTGGAATTCATGAAACCACATACAACTCCATCATGAAGTGCGATGTTGATATCAGGAAAGATCTGTATGGGAATATTGTGCTTAGTGGTGGTTCAACCATGTTCCCTGGAATCGCTGATCGTATGAGCAAGGAAATCACTGCCCTTGCTCCCAGCAGCATGAAGATCAAGGTGGTGGCACCTCCAGAAAGAAAATACAGTGTCTGGATCGGAGGATCAATTTTAGCTTCTCTAAGCACTTTCCAGCAGGTAAATACTTGCTCTGTGTATGTATGTTGAAATTATACTTAGGTTCTTAATTGTTTAAAGCTATCATGCTTTTGTTTTTGAATTTCTGCAGATGTGGATATCTAAGGGTGAGTATGATGAATCTGGTCCAGCTATTGTTCATCGTAAATGCTTCTAAGCTTGAC